GCCACCAGATTATACCTCTGGTATCTAAATTTATGGAATCAGGACATATAAACATTAACTCTTAGCATAATCATTTGGTAAATTTATAAACCATCTGGTTTAATTAATTCAGTTTTCATTCACTAAATTATTCATTTTTATGATGTGCACATGTTACAGACTGTGATTCTTTTACATGCTCAAAGCCAGTATATTAAATATGATAAGTATGAGAAGGGAGAGCAGGACCTTGAATCACCTTAGTGCCCTCTCAAGTAATCAAGCCCTTCCACTTCATCTTCACACCCCAACCAGCCCACCAACTTCCCACTCATTTCGATGCTCCTAGACATGCCACTGCCGCCAAAGCCAAGTAAAAAAAAAAAGTAGTTTCTCGTACTAATATTTTAAAAAAAAGAGAATGAGGGCACTATTTATTTTCATGGCAAATAATTTTACTGATGCGAGTTAGCCAGGTTTTCATAGATTTCGGAAATATAGGAAATAATAACTATAAAAAATAATAATTTGGCGAGGCAGAAAAAATGGATTTAGCCTATTATCTTATATTTTATCTTATGCAGGAAACATGCTGCAGTCCAACTTAAGAACAAGATAATTAAAGATGGAACTTTATATACATTGATTTTGCAAAGCTGCCACCCACCAAAAATAATTATTGGAATTTTAGGCTGTTCAAAAATTTAAAAAAAAATAAAATAAAAATTACTTTTAATAGAAAAGATTTCTCCTAAGAAAACATTATTTTTTCCTAACAATTCATTAATAAATTTTATTCCTGTTTTCTCTTCCAACTAGATACTTTTAGAAAATCAATTTTGCTAAAAGAGAAAACAAAATTTGATGATCTGTCAAAAATATATTTCGCAAAAAAAAAACGTATAAAGAGTCTCGCCTAAGAAATATCCCCAACACAAACTACTGCATCAGCGTTTAACTCACACAGATCTGGCACGACAACAAATTGTTTCGTATCACGCTGTCCGAGTTGGCCTTAAATGTTAGCTATAAACTAATGGTAATCTTATATTTCAAAAGCAACAATAGAAAATATTTATATTTGTGTGACCTTGTACTTTATGCCAATTTAACAAACCCTTTTACAACATTTTGTTGAAGGCTAATAAAATATCACTAATCATTCAAGTATCATCCTATCTCCCAAGGCCAAGGTGAAATTTACCTTCAATATTAGAAGCATTATCCTTCCATATTTCATCATAAAACTTCAAGGTCAAAGTGCATATTGATTGACATTTTAATGACATACTTGTTTTCTGTCTCTTCTTGATTTATTATTATTTCATAATATTTGTATATTAATATTTGTATATTAATATTTGTATATTTGTATTCATATACTTTTTACTGATTTCATTTCATTTTATTCAAAAATCATACTATAATATGTAATTCCAAGGATAAAAAAAAAAGATAACAAATAACGTAAAGGTCAACTTATTTCCATTGTAGTCCTTTGCACGAGCACACTGCATTATTACGGAATTTCCATGCGGAAATCTTGGAGAACGCTATCTTGCAATTATAAAATCTTTGATAATGTTAAACTAGATGTTGGAGAGGGCACCAGAGCAAGCACACCTAATGAAAACCAAGCATGTATGTAAATCCAAAAAAACTGGTACACATAGTATTGGTGAGGTAAATTAGCTGTGATCTATAAATTATCCCCAACGACAAAAATGGGTTTAGAAAAAAAATATATTAAAAATGTGTCTAGGAATTTTATCACCTTATTATCGCGCCTAATGAATATTAATCAGCTAAATGCTCATTTCAGAGATGTATCATTGACAAAATGTTGTCGTAATTTATTATTCTCGGTAAATCTTTGAAGAAATGTATTTGCAATTGTAAACATGTTTTGGCAAACTAGAAAAATAGGTGTGGCAGACAAAGTTTTTAACTGGCAAAAAGATATGTAAGAATTACCTGTACTGCATAATAGATCATAAAAATTTGTTTGCATGAATTTTTAATTTGATCAGGGATTAAATTTATACACAGATCAGTAAGATAAATAATAAATATTAAATAATCGTGTTTAGAACACTGTGTTGAGTTCAACGACGTCAATAAAAAAAATATTTCTATTATAAGCCTAGAAATGAGATTTTATAATTATCACACTGGACCCATGTAGAGGCTGGAGAAGGGATGTTAGCAACAGATGTTCTCACTAAATAGAATAAAAGTATTACGAATTTAAACAAAACCATATATCTATACACTAAAAAAAGATAACATCACCATGACAACAAGATACAAAAATGAGCATACTTCAGGTATATATCACCGTGGCAACAGAGAGTACACAATAATGGAGACAACAGTGAATGTGTAGCTATAGATGTCAAGTTTACGAGTTTAATTTATTGGTCTTTGGGGACAAGTTGTCATGTTCCTGCGTGGGATGTAAGGATAAGTATGTGAGCTGTGGTTATTGATAATATATATAATTTATATCAATATTCACTTAACAATTATACAGGGAATAAATGAATAATGTAAAATAATCCTAATATAAAATTGATCAATAATACATTATTAGTCAATATATATAATAATTTTTTATATAATATGAATTTTTTATTTTAAATTCTACATGCAAACAAGTACTGTAGTTGTCACTGAATAGAACCTTATGGTGGAAGCGGTTTGGCGCAGCAGGAACGGTTTGGTTTCCCAACATCGAGGTCGGGGGTTCAAATCACTTTATCTACATTGTTTCTCCCCACCCAGAAGTATAAATGGGTGCCTGGTGGAATTCCCTGCTACAGCAACAATATGGCAGCAACGCGCATGTGGACCCAATGACCAAGGAAAACAAAGCGCTTTGTAACCTAAAGGAATAGGTGTTATATACTAGTACCAAATAACAAAAACAAATCCCTTTGCCTGTGGAATTGTTTTTAATCAAATGAAAAATTCACATCAGAAGATTAGAACCTAAGATTCTAAACCTGGAAGGCAAGCACCCAAACCAAGAAGCTTAACTCCACCAACATTGCACGGTTTGAACCCAGGAACCTGAGATTGGAAAGTAACCATCTAAACCACCAAACTATAATCAAATCCATAAAAAAAACAAAAAACAATTAAACACAAAAATATTAAATTCAAAGGCCAGATAAGAATCATCTATTCATTTTATCATTAGTATTCATAATTTAAATGTAAAAGACATTCAGCATAAATGCTTGACAAGATTTGCATTGGATCCATAGACTTGAATTAAAGCGACTATCAGCCCTCTATAGTTTATCATTTCTAAAAACATATAACACAAACAACAGAGGGAGCTATTGCAATTCTGTTAAACCACAGGTAATAAATATCAAATAAATTGATTATCAAGATTTTTTAACAACAATTTAATGATATCCAATAAAAACTGGGAAAGGAAATCAATAAATATAAAATTACATAAAAATATACTTAAAAATCATATTACTTCATAAAATGTTTTGGGTTTAGAAAAAAACTTTTCTGTTGTTGAGAATATCTCTATTTTTCCAATAGACTGATCTAATCATTTTCAGAATAATTTTCCGTCCTTTTATTTAAATCCTTTATAAAGTTCATCCAACAATAAAGGTATTGTACCTGGATTGGCAAAAAATTTGACCTACACTGTTAACTCATCTAATCCAGTCTGGTGTCGCTAAATATAATAATTTTGATACGACAAGAATAATTATCGGTTTTCTTGTGTGTTCTTTCAGATAAAAGATGACAGAAACAGGAATGTTGTATGCATTTTTGAAATTGATACAAAAATTGTGACCACATGGGACACAGAATATTTTGATGATTGATGATGTTATCAAAGGATCATGTAACTAATATTACAGTCATTTCTCACCATCCATCAATCTTTGCATTCTCAAGGACATGAAATGTAAGGTCAAAATTTTTACAGCCAATTTAGAATTATAAAATTCTTGTAAACATATCCGCACTGCTCATTCTCTAATAAAATATTTCTCTGAAAAATGCCTATTTAAGTAGCATATTCACCTTTTCAGAAAGTTTGACATCAAAATAACAATATTATTAATTTATAGGCATAATGCGTATTTTCTACTTTTTCCAAGTCAAGTCTCAGAAAGGTTTAGTAACAATAAAGTTCAATAATTCACAATGTGTAACCTCGTCCACTTCCCTCAGGAATATCCCTATGGTAGTAAAGGCCAACTCAGACAGCGTCATTCGACGCAGCCCGACGCCTTTAGTCATGGTTGGATTGGTTGGTTTATTCGGTGTAAACTCCACGGATAATCCACGGAAGTGTGAAGAAGACTTGTTTCCAGTGGGGGTCCTTCTAATGGTAATTGGGAAGTACAGCAAGAGACAATCTCCTACTCTATGCATGCCATAATGAACATAGGACCAACCGTTTAAACATCTCATCCAAATGGTGCGCTATCATAACTTACATTTCAGCCATCTAGCTGAATTACAAGGAAAGAAGTGATGGGAATTGAACTGGGAACCAAAGTCTCCACGGTTCAGCGCACACAGAATGGCTACCACTAGTTTAGCCGATTGACCTTAGCTGTTCTCTTGGATACATATTCTGTATGAACTGAAAAGTATTTAAGGAACAATCCTAAAGAGTACCAATTTTATTATCTTGAAAGAACACGAAGTATCTGGTAAAATGTCAAAGCAAATTACCATATATGGTATCTGTGAGTCAGACACCACCACATCAACCATACAATTTCATATAGTGTACTATACTTGCTAACAGTCGCATATAAAGTTCTGATTGGTCAGTTAAGTTTGATTGACACATTAGAAAGGTCCACTACCATGCCTAGGATATTTACATATAAACAGGATGAATATGTTGTAATTAAAATCATTACCTGGATAATTAAAAACTACAACTTGAATTGTTTCCACATTTTTTATTTATTCACTCTATATACATTTTCTAATCATATATTCATAAACTTTAGAATTTAATTTACCTGAGCATTTTGAACTGTAGATGTTTGTACGTATGTTTGTATATTCTCTCTCCTCTGGTCAACACTGCCCCCAACGACTGGTACAAGTTGAGGTCCATCATGCATTCTATTTGTGTCATCTTCATTGTAATTATACTGTAAAATTGTAAAGAAAACAAGAAAAACAATTGTTAAATTGTGAGAATCTAATTAACATGACAAAAGCTATTTCAAGACAAAATCAATGTGGGTTAAATTCTGTCAAATGTAAGAATATATCTCCATCAACCTGAAATGCACACTAAAATCCATTATTTTTTACGACTTTTTTTATACATTCTATGAATATCATACTTAACAAATATGAAAAATCATTATTTTGGATTTGAATTGGTTGGCTTACAGCATGATAAAAGCGAGTCGTTGTATTTTGTTAAATCGGTTTATTATTACCGGTATATAGTAAGCAATTAACAAAAAAGATTTTGATGGATGTCGAAACACCTGAGGTACAGTTGTACACATTAAGATCACAAAAGGAGAGGGCGCTGTCTACAATTTGCTATATAAATTACTTCATGAGATTGCAAGTTTAAATTAAACATATTCATATCACCTTTAAAAAGAACTATGCATTTCAATTATTCAAATGAAAAAACCCTTGCTGGAGGAAATTGTGAAAATAAATGTCGAAGGTCGTATAAAGCGGTTTACGGTACATTAAAATCAAAAGTGTCAAGGCCAATGGACAAAATATTAAACTTTCAATAGTGTAGGTGCGTAAATTAATGAACATTACATAACATCAATAACTGCATTGCGCATCTGATTAAAATATGCTAAAACTGGATAAGATATGCTACATGTTAAGGATTTAGAAAATAGCGCATAATAAATACTGATTGTTACATGACTCATAGTATACATTGATAGAATATTGTATCACTATGGTGATAAGGAGCTGAGTCAGCGGTATTTCATTCTCAATTATTTTTACTTATTGTACTCGGTTGTAGTATTGATTTTATCAAATACTGATGTTCTCTTCACAGGTTTGCTCTGAAAGACCCTCCATTAAAATATTTTTAATATTAAAATATTAATAGGAACATAGACACATCAACAACAAAAGCCAAAAATAGACACATCAACAACAAAAGCCAAAAAGAAAAAAATAATAATGGCCGTAAACTGCAGCAAGAGTTAACTAAAGTAGCTGAAGTTGTTACATTAGCCAGAACGGATCCAGAGAAAAATCTGGGTAGAGTGGGGCCATGCAAAATGCGAAGTGCCAAACGGATTAAGGAAGGGGTGGTGCTTGAGATCTTTGTTAAGAAATGCTTGACTATAGCCTAGACACTAGTACATCGAATTAAACATTAGCCTAGTTTGGAGTACCATGCTCCCTCCATTTTTTTCTTTTCTTCTCATTTTATTTTTTTTTTTTTGGGGGGGGGAGAAGGTGAGGGGGAAGGAGGTCCAGTCTTGGAAAACTTGTAGCATCAACAAAAATAACCACCATTATGACTGACAGCAATAATATATTAATATATACCATATTTAAATCAAATTTATTGTTGAGAAGGGCATTTACTTGAGGGAGGTATGCATTCGAGGGAGGCGTTTTTTTGGTTTAAAATGGATACATACTCAAATAAACAACCTTTATTTCACTGTAGATGTGGACCTGTAATGCATAGTTATCGTCAAAATGTGTTATTGTGTGACTAATATAAAGTATTATTGATCCCAACCAGGTTAGAAAAAATGTAATTCTACTGGAGTAGAATATTGATAGAAAAATGTAATTCTACTGGAGTAGAACATTGATAGAAAAATGTAATTCTACTAGAGTAGAACATTGATAGAAAAATGTAATTCTACTGGAGTAGAACATTGATAGAAAAATGTAATTCTACTGGAGTAGAACATTAATAGAAAAATGTAATTCTACTGGAGTAGAACATTAATAGAAAAATGTAATTCTACTGGAGTAGAACATTGATAGAAAAATGTAATTCTACTGGAGTAGAACATTGATAGAAAAATGTAATTCTACTGGAGTAGAACATTAATAGAAAAATGTAATTCTACTGGAGTAGAATATTAATAGAAAAATGTAATTCTACTGGAGTAGAATATTAATAGAAAAATGTAATTCTACTAGAGTAGAATATTGATAGAAAAATGTAATTCTACTGGAGTAGAACATTAATAGAAAAATGTAATTCTACTGGAGTACAATATTAATAGAAAAATGTAATTCTACTGGAGTAGAACATTAATAGAAAAATGTAATTCTACTGGAGTAGAATATTGATAGAAAAATGTAATTCTACTGGAGTAGAATATTGATAGAAAAATGTAATTCTACTGGAGTAGAACATTAATAGAAAAATGTAATTCTACTGGAGTAGAATATTAATAGAAAAATGTAATTCTACTAGAGTAGAACATTGATAGAAAAATGTAATTCTACTGGAGTAGAACATTAATAGAAAAATGTAATTCTACTGGAGTACAATATTAATAGATAAATGTAATTCCATTGGAGTAGAATATTAATAGAATGTGTTTAGCATGATGTTGCTTCCATTAAGATTCGTTTACAGTAATTTAGGGGGCTTTTATTCAAGAAAGAATACCTCAGCGAGGACAATCGAGGAAGTCATTTATTCCAAGTGAGGCTCTAGAGGGGGCATTTATTCAAAGCGAGGCGTTTATATGAATAAATATGGTATAAAATGTAGCCAATTAAAATACAGTAGAAAATATTATCCGAAATTGATTTGGATTAATGTCTTCATTAAAATATTAAAATTAAGAACTGACTTTTAGTTTAGTTTTTAATGAAAATTCAAAAATGACTATTATAATTATTATAGCCATCTGTTATATATGTCTGTGACATAATTGAGGGTATGCCCCACATCAGTCACTTAAATGGACAGCTTGAGATATCAAGATTTTAAACACGATTGATGAGATTTACTCATGAATACTAATTTGTCACCATGCATACAAAAAATAATGAAGTATTATTTCTTTTGATATAAATTTACCAGCAATACTGGGAGAACCAAACATACAAAGATATAGTGACACCTAAATCAGACTTTAAAATAAAAACAAAATTACTAGAGATTGATTCGTGAATAGTTATTTTTTTACACGAGTACAAAGGACTGCCATCATGGAATTTTCCTAACTGTAAATTTACCAAAAAACTAGGAGATGCGTTTAACGATATAGTGGCCACTAAATCAGATATAAACTACTGAACTAAAACTAAAGTTATATCAATAAGTTATCAGTTTTTATTAGATTTTTTTTCCCTCACTTTCCGGTTTTCTTCTGTTGGATTTATTTTATTGTCACAGTATATTAGTCAAAAAATACCAAAAAAAAGCAAAAACTGCTCTGATCTTTGTGAAATAGCGCTATATAAATGATGTAATGTATGAGATAAAGTAGTCATTCGCAATTAACGTACACTCTAAAATACTATTCGTAATCTTGGATTACAGCCATATATTTTTGGCAGTAAATTAAAGGATTTTTGTAGTAAAACCTCTGTAAATTACTGAAAACTATTTTCTCCCATATCTGTGACTAATTGGAAATTCATAAATTATGTCCTTTTAAAGAGAAATTCAAATTTTTGTTTAAATTTTTTTAGTTACCTTCATTTCTTTGAGCAGCTATATTATATTAAAATATTAAGAATAAAAAACTGGAAAAATTCCTTGTATACTTTGCCAAGAACTAAAGCAACAAAAGTAATAAACATGGATAACTACAAAAAACGAAACAAAGATGAGATTACTATCACCACAGTTTAAATAATTATCACTGAAGAGTGCCCTAAATTTTTATAAAATAAAATGTAACATATCAGTAGTTTCCATATTTTTCAAAGATTTCGGCAATTTTATTAGCTTTCGATTTGTGCGACGACACAACGCTAAAACGGAATCACTCGTGTGACCGTCCTACCTGGCGTCCTACGTTCTCTGCATACATAGATTTGACCAAATTGCGTTCCAGAATCTACTCGACGAGGTGACCTCAACTTTCTCGCATGCGCAGATGACTTTTAATGACGTCATTATGTTCTATGTCCTACTGTCGTCGCGTAATTGAAAGCTACTTTACCTATTAGACCACGACTGACGAACTTTTGATATTAATTTGATACAGCATTAAGTGGTACTGAAAAAGTGATGGTATAATCAGGGGCGATAATACGTACACCTAAAACAAGGTTGATTGATATTCTATATATATGTTACATAGTTACTAGAATTATTACGAGTCTCTTGGGGCCTGAACTGTTAATTTGGAAGAAATTAGATGACTATTATAGATAGCAGAAACATACATAGCCTATCACAGGGATGTCGAGATCTGGATGTTCCGTTTCAACAGGCATTAAAGGATAAACATTGGACCACCATTAATTATGTCAGCGTGTAACAGAGGTAAATGTAATAACTTTCGATTGTCATTTGATTCCGACTGCGGCGGGTAAACGGTTCGTCATTCAAATCATTCTTAAACATCAAGTGTAATTATTTCTCAATGTTTCTTACTACTGCGATATTATCTTTCACATTAAATCTGTCATGCCATATGCAGTGGCAGCATGGGAAATCAGATGGCTTTCTTTGGAGCAAGAGATTCAAATAAAATTTATAATGCTACTAACTTAAGTAGTATTTTTAAACCATTTAAAAATTGCATAGAAGAAATCCTGCCAGATTGGGTTTACAGTAGAGGATCAATTGCATTGATTTTAGCTTCATATTTCCACAGAAACGACACATGCTCTAGAATACTTGTACAGGTGTGATAAACTACTGTACTTAAGTGTGCCTCTTGTAGATATATATTAAAGAGGAACAACTCCTATTCTACCTATCTTTTCTCACCTGTATGGTTAACCCTCTTTACTTACCTGTATTCCTACCTCTATACTTTCTATCCCATTGGCATCCATATTCTAACCTGTATCTTTACACTGGGAATAACAGTACTCTATATATTTACACTGGTTCTGTTTTTCTCTCTTGGCTGACCTATACCATAATTATCCTATGCTAATCTATACATTTCTAGCAAAGAGTACTGCAAAAAATGTCCGATTCTCAGGGTTTCATTGGAACATAGTCCTATGTCAAAAAACACTACCACAAACTAAAGGGCGTCCTTCAGAAGGCAAGATTTGAATGCATTCTAATATGGCGCCCCTATCTCCTGGGTAGTACTTTTTGAACGTTACATTGTGTGCATACAAACTCAGGGCAGTCGGACCTCTCATAATTCTATTCTTTGCTTCTAGTCCCAAGCCTCCAACAGCCGGAAATCGGCAAATCAGCATGGCCTACTGTCCCATGAATGGTAATATCTTTTGAAAACAACTCTCTTCTGCAAATTCATGATTTTTGTTTTTACTACAATATTATTTATTTTCTCCTTAAAGTCAGCTGACCATTGCTATCACCACGCACAGCAACAATAGATGTGTTAAGAAAGCTCACTGACAATTTTAACCAGATCTCCCAATAAGTGGCTTCAATTCAACTGCTGCATCAACTGCCAACTGATATAATTGTATCCTATAATACATGTATCCACCACACTTACCAAACTCATCCTACATCACTTCCCTATACTATCCGGTCTCTATCCCCATCTACCGATATCTATTACCTTATCCTACCTCTAAATATAGCAAGGGCCTCTAGCCTGTGATCAGTGACATCTAGCTTAATGACAGCTAATCACTTGAATGACATCACAAATTATATCTCCCCGAGGGGCAGTGACGAGTAGAATAACACAACTGATAAATAATTATTGTACATAATGAGCATATTAATGAATCTATACAGCACTTAGTTCAAACCATCACCTTTTACCCCAATCTCTATACAAAATTTAACTGTACATACATAATAGGAAAAGAAATAAATTGAAAAATAAAAACCATTATAATAATTTAAGTACTTATTTAAATAAAATTTATTAAGAAGGGCTTACATTTGATTCACTACGCCTTGTGACACGTCGACAACCGAACATAGCATTCAGGCAACTCAGCGGCCACCAAGTGTTTGTCGGCGAGTCCAGCACTAACTCGTACTCTTGCATTTTTCACAAGAATATCCTTTAAATTTCCAATAATTAAATATTCCAATTATTTTCCTCTATAGTACAACACTGTAGCGTGATAGCTCGTGAAAACAGCACTCGTGTTTAGCCGGTACCATTCCAATTATGTAGAAATCAAAAGCGGAAAAACAGCGTTCTGTATTTTTTTTTTATCGCACCACTTCTGGATTAGCATCCATATTCATAGATTCATATCCGATCACCTTCCTGATGGAAGTAAATGGTCCAAGTATCCCTTATAAACAACGTTGGACAGTTTTACGATCAACAGCGATAAAAAAGACACATGTGCCAATGCCAGCAGAATGAATGATCGATGGTTCAGCATTACAACAATATGTTTTTTCTAGATAAACACGATTTAGCCCGTGAAGAGCCTCAAATTGTCATTTCACAACTGTTTCCTCTTTCTCAGAATGGTACAAGAAAATTAAAAACCAAAAAGATCAGCTTTGTAGTAAAAACACTAAGCATCTTGGTATTTGCACAGCCATCTTCTCATATAGTAGAAAACTATAAGCTAAGAAATAACAGATATATATTACCACTCCCACATTGGAGCAGAGATATTTAATCACCTACACCTCTATCTCTCCACATAAATCTAAACTGAGATACATTTGTACCAACCGTGCAAATAGTGTGATTACCGATAGATTAACCTCTTGCCGTTTATCTTTGCCTGGCTGTACGCTAACTAATCACGCACAGGCAGGTGCATTCTTACGGATGACATCCATGCGTTGATTGTGTAATTTCTTAAGAGGAAGCCTCGAATATTCCATTCACGGTAGCAGCACATTAACAATCTGAACAATTTTTATACAAAAATCCGGATTGAAAATAATTTCATTTGGCGAACATCAAATCCAAACTAATCTACTACATATCATAAGCTGATGATGCTTACACGCTTGCGAGAGTATGCACTGACTATTATCAAGCAATACTTTAAATATTTTAATTACTGGATCCTCAGAGAGGTGACTAGGATAAGCGAGTATTCAACTACTGTATTCAACATGAATGCAACAGTGAGTATTGAGCAATTTTAAATGAGTTTTCCTCTTGATAATTGCATGTTGTCCTTGACAACAAGCAGTGTGCTGGGAGGTTGAGTGTTAATTAATATTCTGACTGTGTTGGTCGTTATTATTTCATAGAGCAAAGTGCCAAGGGGAGTTTTAACAGATTTTTCTTAAAACAATAAGAGCCAACTGGAGATAGGTAATATAAATTATCATCATATTGTAAAAACAAAGCAGATAGGAAAGGACTTTTACAAATTTAAAAGATCACCTTTTATTGCAGTGTATAAATGAAGAATTTCTGATATATTTATTTTAAATATATTAGACCAATAAAGATATTATTATTATTATTAATTTGATCAAGTATTGATTACATTTTTTCAATAAGAAAATTTCTGTTCTTTTAAATTAAACAATTGACCAATGATTGAGTGAAGTTCTGCCAAATTAAGGGAGGATAAAAATATACTACTATATATTATATTTGTACACTTGTCAAAATCATTGTACTTATCAAAAATATCACTAATACTTACATCATTAATGTCCTACGTACTAATTGTTCATTAATAATTAAAAATCATCCTAGAAAATAAATTTAAGTAGGTATTTAATGTCGGCCAAATTTAAAAAATAAATAGTTTCTCCTTCACAATTTGAAAAAAAAGTCAGTCAGGATTTTAGATGATGATTGCTTATGCTGGTGTAAAATCAAAACTGATGCAAAAGGCCAAGGTACTGAGATAAATATGAAAATTACCACTAAATTGTAATAAGCACTACCACCAGTGACAAAAAGCATTGTAATTCAGGGGGGAGGGGAGGGAATTAAATACTTTTAAGAAAATGTACAAAATATTAGCAGCAGCAAAATAGAAACTGACAGAAACTAGAAACTAAAGTATCTTTACACTTGGCCTTACAGCTACTTCACAGGTGCAACAACTTAATCAAATAACAATGAACAAATAAGCATACTACTTGAAAATTCAATAACACACTCAAAAATCATTCTCATCCCAAATATTAAAAGCTCCTAAAATGAAATCACAAATATTCTCAATCTCAAAAAAAAAAGTGAAATTGAATGACTTTCTAAATCGTAAAAATACTTTCATAATAAGCGAAAATACAAGCTATGAATTTCTTATTTAATTGTTCATAACAGATGACCGATGAAGCACCTCATGTTTTTATTAGCTTTAATAGAGTTAAGAAAATGAATAGCTAAGCAAAGGCTCAATTGATTAAGTGCAAGGTTTCAGTTGCTCCCTAAGTACACTTCACGCATAATTAATCATTTCTTATTATTAAACATGTTTACTTCCTTGTATCAAAACTATAGTGCAAATTGCACATAGTTTGAAGCTTTCACATATCATTCTGCAGATTACGCAAATGTGTAGAATGCACATACTACATTTGTGTGAAAGTGTATAATCATTTGTCAAATTTCATGTTGTAAAGACATCACATTCTTTCAATGACCGTGAATTTAACATACTACTTATGGCAAATTAACATACTTGTGTGGCAATGCGCATATTAATGTGAAGACTTAACATAACCATGTGTATGCTGCACATAAACTGTGTTTAGAATTTTACACTTGATGGAGTTTAATGTTACAGAGATAACACATCCTTTCAATGTGAGTGAATTAACATACTAAAACCAATGTATTGTGGCAATGCGAATACCAATGTGAAGATTTAACATCCATGTGTATGCTGTATGCTGCACATAAACTGTGTTTAGAATTTTTCACTTGATGGAATTTAATGTTGTAGAGATTTCACAGTGCGAGTGAATTCAACACACTACTAATGTAAAATTCACGTACTGGCAATCACAATGACATACCAATGTGACGATTTAATGCGTATGTTTCAAATATTGATTTTTTTTTTCATAGATAACACAAACTAGAATTTGATGAGAATGATCTGGACTAAAAGCCTACACTGAAATGGACAAACAACCGAGTTGATAAAGTCAAAATAACATGATTAACATCAGGGCTGAAAAAGCTACATACCTGAAAGTTAACTACCTTCAATGCTAAGATTAATTAAATAATAGTTAACAATATTTATGGTATAGTGTAAAATAAATATCATTCAGGTCAAAAATTTTGCCAATAAAGCATTTTTTTTAAATTTATTCTTTTATTAGGCCCAATAAAAAAAAATAGTTTAAAAAAATGGAAAAGTGATGAGGGAGGCCTTTTATTTTAATTTGCTAAAGCCAAATATCCCTCTTTGGTTGTTTGCTGGTCCATTGATATTCAAAATAAAATACATGATCGAGATAACACAAACAATATCTACTAACTATTTACTAACAAAAATGAAAGCAATTTTTTAAAACCAATTTTTTTTAATAAAGACATGCGGCGCAAGAGTGATAATATCATCATTTTTTTTATTGGGCCTTATCGCATATTAAACTTACTAAAGTTATGGTATACAATTATTTATGTGAATAGCATTTATTATAAATTAAATATAATTATTTACCTTAATATCACACTATAGTATATTTTTGCATTACCTTAAAAATATGCTACAAAAGATAATCTTTAGATGTCCTTTCTTTTAGTATTCATCCATTTTTCATTAAAAATATGCTACAAAAGATAATCTTTAGATGTCCTTTCTTTTAGTATTCATCCTTTTTTCATCATCATTATAATAATTTAATAACATGATTAACATCAGGGCTGAAAAAGCTACATACCTGAAAGTTAACTACCTTCAATGCTAAGATTAATTAAATAATAGTTAACAATATTTATGGTATAGTGTAAAATAAATATCATTCAGGTCAAAAATTTTGCCAATAAAGCATTTTTTTAAAATTTATTCTTTTATTAGGCCCAATAAAAAAAATAGTTTAAAAAACTGGAAAAGTGATGAGGGAGGCCTTTTATTTTAAGTTGCTAAAGCCAAATATCCCTCTTTGGTTGTTTGCTGGTGCATTGATATTCAAAATAAAATACATGATTGAGATAACACAAACAATATCTACTAACTATTTACTAAAAAAAATGAAAGCAATTTTTTAAAACCATTTTTTTTTTTAATTAAGAAGACATGCGGCGCAAGAGTGATAATATCATTTTTTTTATTGGGCCTTATCTCATATTAAACTTACTAAAGTTACGGTATACAATTATTTCTGTGAGTAGCATTTATTATAAATTAAATATAATTATTTACCTTAATATCACACTATAGTATATTTTTGCATTACCTTAAAAATATGCTACAAAAGATAATCTTTAGATGTCCTTTCTTTTAGTATTCATCATTTTTTCATCTTATAATAATTTAATAACAAATTTAATTTCCAATATCAATATGAAATTTTTTCTCAATCATCGGTCTTAAGCGATTTTAGCTGAAGCAAATCTGATCTTGAAATTCCAAACGAGAAAAATTCATGCCATGAAATCTAATCAAATTTTGATATTTTGTTTTTATAGAAATGGGATGAATTAAGAGACAAGCATCCTCCAACAGCGAGTCACTCATCAATGATAGGATGCAATTGCTCCTACTAAACTAAGGCTGAGTCAGGCTGGCTTAGTAAGCGGATAAGAAATCCTGGATTTAAACATGATTGAAACTACAACCCAAAGATTTCAAAGGCAGACATAAAAAACCCCCTTATAGCTCCATCTTCCGCACTTTTTTTTTTTTTAAGAATTGCAGTTGGGTGCATGTGGCCTGCAGATGGTATGTTGCCCAAATGTAATACAGAGTAACCCTGAAAAATATTAACCCAATATTTAAAGATGTACTGGCCCTTGCAAGAAACAAAAAAAAAAAATCATAAAAATAATTTTTTTAATTTACTTGCCCATTTTGAAGTAACATAAAAATTGTCAACTTGAACATAGAAATCAGTGTATTAAAAAAATGCTTAACCAATTGCTTAAACATAAATCCATCATTTTAC